AAAATTGCATACCTTACAGTTTGAAAATTGTTCGATAATTATTAACTAAAGTAGCAAAAAAATAATAAATATTTGCTAAAGTTTATATTTTGCATAGAATTAGCTTGAGAGAACGAATTTTTGTGTGCAAAAATCGGTCCATACTGGCAAATGATAAGTCAGCATATGATAAGTCTAGCAGATTTTCCTCATGACATATTTGTTAATTAGAATCTTTAAACTGTAAGAAATAAGGATTTTAAAAATATGTAATTTACATTGTTACCTCTCTGGATCAAATTTCTCAGGGTCTGGATAGTACTTTGGATCCCTATGAATAGCCAAAATGGGAAGCAAAATGACCGCATCTTTTTGAATGGTAATGCCTGTTTCTCCATGAATGTAAGTCTTTTCAGCTCTTCGGCTAGTTCTATACAATAAAAATAGAACAATTGAACTATTTATATTGATGTAATAGTTAAGGTGTAAACGTATAGGGGGTAAACAAGATAAGGGTGTAAAATATGTGTTTGAAATTATAGCAGAATATCTTGATTTACAAATTACTGGAAGTACCAAAACAGTTAGATCATCATATAGGCTCAGAAACCATTTTTATGCAATGGTAGAATTATAATATTACTCAAAGAATTTTTTTTTCGGAAATTGATAATCACTACTCACCTTATAATCGGAGGATATAATCTCAAAGTCTCCGACATTATTTTATCCAAATATTTCATTTTCTTCAAAGCTTCATATGTTAATTCACCCTAAAAAGTGAAGTGTTTAAATTTGTAATGAAGGATGAATAGAACCAAAAAACAGAGACAGGCTCTAGCGTATTGAAATTACGAATAAGAAAAATATGAAATTACAACTACAATATGAATTTATTATAAGCGTTGAACTCCTCACCTCCTCCCTCTAACTTCGTTGAATTTGCTATGAGGCATAGTGCATATTCCTCAATTTAGTTTCAATAGCTAAATTGGAGGACAGTTTCTGAGCACCAAACATATTTTGAGGATAACTCAAGAAATAATGAATAATATTAAGTTAATTATATGAATACTAGGAAGCTCCGCCCCCTGCTCGCTAACACTCGCC